TCCATCTTTGAAAAACATTTTTAATAGCTGCTTCACATTTCATCACGTAGCTATCATATTTTAAGTTTTTCCTGTTTGGCAGATATTTGGAATGTTCCTAATGTTTTGTTAGTATAAATTTCATCAAAGAGAATAATCTTTTCCGTTCCCCCCTTTAGATGTGTAGAAAAGGAATTACTGGGTCAAGTAGTTTGGTTTTTGTTGTGCTATTTTTTTGTTTCTTGTAAGATCACCAAACTACTTTCCAGAATATTGCCTTTACACTTATCTAGTGTTAATGAGCATGTTTCCTATTACATCTTTGTTCATCACCTGATATTAGGTTTAAATGAAATTTTTGCTTTAATTTGAATTAACATTTTTTCACTCATATCTATGATTTATCTTTTATTTCCTGAATTTATTGTAAGATACTTTAAAGAACTATGTCTCATTTTTCACATTCTACAAATTACATAGTAAGTGTGTGTTCCATGCATACTTGCCAAGGAACCATTAATATTTAACCTTTTGTCTCTGGAAGATCAAGAAACTTTGACTTTGCTTTTTATCAAAGTTTCTGAGTACATTGTTAGCAAAATTCTATTACTGTTTGACTTTTTCTTTACTTTGAGTGGTTGTCTAGGTGGAGGCCTCGTTGATCTTATTAGTTGTCTACTAAGGTGTAGCAAGTTCCCACTGTGGAACTATGCTGCATTATCCAAGAGCTTCATACAGTTTTGCTGCCATTTTTCATGATGTTAGAGTATTTTACTTCCTCTACACATTCATCTTTCATTTAAGGGGTTAAAGATTCCACGCTGATCATTCTAGTTTCCCTGGTCTTCCCTGTGTTTCACAAACAGATGCCTACTGTCTAAATTTCCTTTGCTTTATTACTCAGATTGTTCTTGATAGCCCACAGCATTTACTCTCCTTTAATCTACCACTTAAACCTGGTATGGAATTCTTGTTTTCATGGTTCTTTCATGAATTCATTCAGTTATCTCTGTTCAGGTCCTGTGTCATTGGTATAGCCTCAGATACTGGTGAAGGAGGCAGAAAGCTGCTTCCTTTAGGTTAAGAATTGTCTTCAGAATTGTTTACTGGTTGGATTTCCCGAATCATAAACAGCAAAAGATAGGGCTTCTTGTAGTAAGGTGACCGCTAGTGGGGTATTAACAGCATACTGACTTGAAAAGAATTCATCTCTAAAAGTAATTATTGCATTACAGCACTATAATAGAATGTTGGCAATAAGATTACGTCATAAGCAGAATCTTAACATCACTTTCTGTATGTTTAGTTTTGAAAAGTAAAAAAAGGTATATTATTTACAAAAAGTTTCTACTTTTTTCTCTTAACTGTTGTCCTGATTGTATGTTTCATTGAATTCATGTGGAATAAACAGCCAGCCAATGTAAATAAAAATGGTAATGATACTCTTGTCATTGGATAGTCTATAATGAAAATCCAAACATGTAATGGAAATTTTTAATGCTTGATGTTATTTTTAGGTTCTTAGAAAAAGTAATCTATATATGGATATGAAAACTCATTCATTTATAATGTGGAAATTTTGTTAATTTTTGGAATGTTTATGAATTTTTAACTTACTTGTTACATTGAAGGTTTGTTTCTAGTCCTGAGAGACAAAGAATTCTCAAATATGTTGTTTTTAGTAATCAAAAACTTTTTTATTTTATAGATGGTCATTAATCAGTGTTTAACCATGTGAAGCTAACTGTATAGACTGAACAAATTTGATAGTTTTACTTCTAAATGTAAATTTCTGGGTTCAAGTTGATGTATACAGAAAAAAATAACCATTTATATTCCTATGAGTCATGCACTTATAACTGAACAGTAATAATTCTGCTTGAAGTATGATCTGCTTGATGTGTTATGTGGCCACCCAAGTAGCTTTATCTTTAATTAAATTCCTTTAGTCTTCAAAGAGAATTCCTTTTTAGGCATAGTTTTCAAAGTGGAAGAAGTTCTTTCATATAAACTTTGTTAAATACAAAATACTGGGCTAACAGTACTCTAGACATGCCAGTTATGCTATTTTTCTGCTGTAAAGTAACATAAAGAAATCTTGAAAACACAATACTATAGTTTGTATTGCTACCTTCTGTTAATCTCTTCTGTACCAATGTGAACTCATTCTCATTAGTTTTGTTGTTTTAATTGAGTTTGCCTTTATGTATTGTAAGTTAGAAATTTTGAGTCCCATTATATTTTAGCAGTGCTTAAAAGGATGTCTGTTTTGCTAAAAGAATTTATCTCTGCCTCCCATTCTTTTTCTTACTATTGGTAGCATAGATCAACTGTTTGAAACATATTTCAGTGTAAGTGTAGAAATCATGTTCAACTCTACTTTAGGGTTCTCTCTTCTGTTCAAATACTATTGGTAGTCTTTCACTGTAATGGTTTCAGCAAAAATCTGCTCTCTTTGTAAAGTTTTGTTGTAGTTTGTTTTACTACTCTGCATTAAAGAGAACTGAGATTATCCAGATTTTAATTAAAAGAGTGAATTTTTAGTGTCCAAGGGTAGATTTGGATAGGATATTTTCCATGGAGTATATGTATGTATATCTTTTAGAATATAAGTCATAATCAGAATCTTGTGCAGTGTTTTAGTGGATGGCAAATCAGATTTTGCCTTGAACATTAATTTTCAGGAAGAGGGGTAGTTCCTACATGGGTTATCAGTTTCAACTTTGAAGGTAGGAAGATTAGATTAACAATTTTTTTTTACTTTTCTGCAGAAAGTCAAAAATTATTTGGAATATGTGACCTATATATTAATTGATTAAGACCCAATTACCAAGTGTCTGGACCAACTCAGTAATTAATGACTTGGTAATTATTTTGCTATGAACATGCAGGTTTTGAGAAATGACAGCTTTTCCTATATTTTATGATGTCTAGAGGATTAGATCACATTTAATTAATGCTAACCTCATAAATACATATGATTTATAAATCTTAAAAGTACAGATTAACCACTAATGAAAACATTCTGGAGACTACACAGAAAGGTCTTTTATTTGTAGTAATACAATTCCAGACCAACTAATTCCTTCCTTAATTCACAATGGATGTTCTTTGGATTAAATTGTGACCCAAAATTAGAATTTATAGTATATGTTTTACAATCCCTCACATTTTTTATACTGGGTTAATTTGATTTTGTTAATGAAATTTAATATATCCAAAAAGAAAAAAATGCTTTGTGTATTTGTGGTTTAAAAAATGTTTATTAAAGTCATAAACTGGCTTGTCATACTGAAATTCTCTCTCTGGTTGGTATTTTTTATGAGACTTCTAAGAAACATATATATATATATATATATTAAGATCTGTTTTATTTGCCGGAGAATTATGTACTTGGTATGTTATCTGTAGCTGTTTTATAAACAAGAGACTTGTTTTCTCCCCCAACCCATAACTTATCTCTGCTGTCACTGTGCTAAGGATTTTTTTTTTAATTTAAACTAGAATGTAAGTTGAAAATTCTGTTGTTGAAACAAATAAGTGAAATTCAAATTCAATAAAAAGAATTGTTTTTTGGATTATCTGGAACTGTTGCCAGTTGACAGAGAATCAGGATTATTTAGTTGTTTTCCTTAAAAGAGTTCTGATGCAGTTTCCCAAGTTGTAGTTTTGCTTCTTAAATCCTTTTATCTTGGCAATTCAGTTTCTATATGTTGTGACTAAAAGAAATTTGATTTTTCCCCAGTTTGCTTCCTTTTAAGTTCTTTAAAGTTCTGTACCCTTAGACTAAACTCTTTTAGAGATGGGACCTATTGTCCCTGAGTGTCTTGGGTTGTAGGAAATAAGTAATCATCAAAGATGATGATGATGTCAGTATTTTAGTAGCTAGAAAGATATTTCTAATATTTAGCTAGGATACAAACACTTTTTACTCTCTGCAATTAATGTATATAATTGGAAACCTGAATAATTATAAATTAAATAATAAGATCAAGCCACTTCTTAGAAAGCTCTTTGAGGATTTGCTTTTTCCATACTCTATGTAGCCTTGAATACTATAGGTACCTAAAAATATTAAATAGTATTTTTGGCTAAAAAAATTTGAAGGCTGAAATATTTAACAGTTGTTCCTTCGTTACTTATGAGGATTGTATACTTTATATTTTTTCCTATCTGGTGCAGTATTATCCCTAATCATATGTGACTTTTGAGCACTTGAACTGTGGTTATTCAGCATAAAGTAGAACACTGGATTTTGAAGACTTGGCACACATAAAAAAGAATGTATACTTAATCATCATATTTTTATGTTGGTTACATATTGACATGATATTTTGTATATACTGGGTTAAATTAAATTAAAAATTATTTTCCCTGTTTCTTTTTTACTTTTTTAAAAATGTCTGTTAGCAAGTTTAAAATCATATGTAGTTTACATCATCGTTTCTATTGAAGTGATGGTCTGTACTCATGTTTTCTAATTTTTTTCTCCTGAGATTCATTTCATGATAAAATATCTCATGAACCGCCTTCCTTGAAATTTTAAATATTTTTTTATTCTGGATACTGATTATTCAAGAAATATTTATTAAAAGCCTTATATATGCCAAATAGGATACAGGAATGAATGAAAACATACAAAATCTGCCTTCATGTAGTGTTTGTCCATTGAAAAAAATAGGTGATAAGAAACTAATTTTTAGTAAAAGTTTTTAAATAGTTAATATTTATTGTGAACATATTATTGTATATAATTTCCTGTAATACAATTTTAATACAGTACTATCTTATAAGTGATATGTGTTATTTAATTTAGTGTGGCAGTTATCTTGGTTGGTGTTCTTTGAGCTTCTTGGATCTGAAGTTTTCTAACATTACTTGGGGAAATTCTCAGTCATTATTGTTTCAAATATTTCTTCTGTTCTTTTTTCTCTTCTCTTTCAGGTGTTCTCATTTGTATATTGCCGCAACTTGTGTAGTTGTCCCACAATTCTTGAATATTCTTTTCTGTTTTTTTTTTCCCCTTTAATTTTTGTTCTGTTTCTTTTTCAGTTCTGTTGGTTCCAGTTCTTGATACTTCTTCAAACTTCTTTCACTAGCCATATATAGGCTACTAATAAGCCCATCAATGGCATTATTCATTTCTGTAACAGTGTTTTTGATCCCTAACATTCCTTTTTAATTCTTTCTTAGAATTTCTATCTTACCTCTTACATTTTATATCCATTGTCGCAAGTTGTCTATTTTTTTCCATTAGAGCCATTAGCATTAATAATCATGGTTGTTTTGAATTCCTGTTTTCATATTTCTCATATCTCTGCCTTTTCGGAGTTTGGTTCTGATGCCTGCTTTCTCTCTTCAAACATCTTTTTTTTTTTGCCTTTTAGCATGATTTCTAATTTTTTGTTGAGACCTAGACAGGATGCAGTGAGTAAAAGGAACTCCACTAAGAAGGCCTATAGTAAAATGTGGGTAGGGAAGACACTGTCTAGTACAATGACAATGGCTAACACAATTTGTGCTGTGAGCTTCACAAGTGCTTCTCAGCTTTTTCTCCCCTTGGATAGAATAAGGTGGCCCCCAGGGATTATGATTGGGTATTTCCTCTTGCTTATGTGGAAAGCTAAAGCAGGCTGGAATATTTGGAATGTACATTTAAAAAAATGACTTTTCAACAGATTTTTAAAAACTATGTCATTAGCCACTTCTATATTCTCATTTGACGTCTCTAGCAGTTTGACATAATTGAAAATGTATGCTTTCTATACTTTTAAACACTTTGGTATCTTGATTCTATAACCTCTTGAACTTCTTTTATTTTTTTTTAAAGATTTATTTATTTATTTGAAAGTCAGAGTTACACGGAGAGAGGAGAGGCAGAGAGAGAGGTCTTCCATCCTATGGTTCACTCTCCAGATGGCTGCAACGGCTGGAGCTGTGCCAATCCGAAGCCAGGAGCCAGGAGCTTCTTCCAGGTCTCTCACGCTGGTGCAGGGGCCCAAGGGCTTGGGCCATCTTCTGATGCTTTCCCAGGCCATAGTAGAGAGCTGGATTGGAAGAGGGGCAGCCAGGTCTCAAACCGTGCCCATATGGGATGCCAGCACTTCCGGCCAGGTTGCTAACCCACTGCGCCACAGCGCCGGCCCCAACTTACTTCTATCTTAATAATGTTCTTTTTAAGTCCCTTTTAGGGCTTGTCTTGTTTTTCAGTTCCTCTTTGTTTGCTCAGATAAATGGGAGTGAACCCCTTGGCTTAGTCCAGAACTCCTTTTTCTTCCTTACTTATAATTGCTCCCTAGGTCAACTCATTTAGTCCAATGGCTGTAAAGATTATTTATATATCAGTGATCTCCCCAAATAATGTTTCTAACTATGCCCTCTCACTACCTCCACTTGAATGGTTAATAGGCACCTCAAATATAGCATATTGCAAATAAAGGGTGCTTCTTTGTCCTCCAGCGTTCTAAGTCTACTACATTTCAGAAAAGAGCACCACTAACTGCAGAGTTGCTTAGGCCCAAAGCAAGGCATCATTCTTGAATTCTTTCTTTCCCTTAAGTGTTACAGAATCATGACTATGAAAAGTTTTGTTGACTGTACCTTGAAACATGTTCTAAATTCATTTGTTTTTCTTCACTTCTACTGCCTAACTAGCCCATGCTGCCAGTATTACCTCTTGCTTGGATTACTTCAGGAGCTTCCTGACTGGTTGTGGCCTCCATTCTTTATAGACTATCCAGACTAATTTTAGAAGGTAAAACTGCCGGTCGGAATAAGTATTCCCTTATGTAAATCTCTAGTGTCTTTTCTTTGACTCATATAAAATGTCCATGGTTTCATCCCTATCTATCGTATTTCCTCATTGGTCTGTTACATTTTAGATATATTTGCCATTTTTGCTACACAAACAATCCAAAATTACTTTTCCTTGAAACTTTCTATTGCCTTTTTTGTTTAGAACAAACATACCCTAAATTATTTCTTTTAAAGTTTATTTAGTTTTGTGTATACAAAAGTCAGGGGGCAAGGGGAGAGAAAGAGAGAGAAATCTTCCATATGCTAGTTCAGGAGCCAGGAACTCAGGAATCACATATTGAGTGGCAGGGACCCATAGTCCTGCTGCCACTCAGGGTACACATTAGCACAAAGCTGGATTGGAAGTGGAGTAGCTAGGACTTCAATTAGGAACTTCCTGGCACTCTGATAATGCAATGCAATGTTCCTAGGGTGTCCCAGGTGGTGCTTAAACCACTGTGTCACAGTGCTGATCCCTACCCTAAATTCTTTGTTACCTTGTTATTGTCCTTTCAGCTCTCAGAGAAGATGTGATCAACATAGAGCCATTTTCTCACCTACTCAAATGTAGTCATGCTCTAAACTATGTAATTATTATAAAAACACCTGTAGAATACTTATTTACTTGATAATTTCTTATTTGCTTATTTATTTTCTACCTCCCATTTACTAATATGTAAGCTCAGTGATAGTAGGAAACTTATTTGTCCTATTTACTGCCATCTTTCTAGTGCCTAACATAAAGTCTGTCACATGTTGCTCATAAAAATATTTTAAGTGATTTGGTGAACGTTTGGTTTTGGTATGACTATACCAAACCTAGCTTTTACCAAAAATATGAAATTATTTTTATAACTTATTGTTGGTCATTTTTTATTTTCCTCCTTAAAAATTATTTCCTTAATTTGTGAATTTTTGTTTCTAAAAGGTTGAAATTATTTTTTTCTGCCATTCACAAACACTTCTCCATGAATAATATATTGTGGTATGAATATTCTGTGCCCCAAATGAAAGCCAGATGGCTTGATATTCTGCTTGTTTTTAAATTGGGTTCTGACATACTGGATATATTTAAATGTTATGAAAGAATGGTGATCACATGGAATACAACTAATGGAGATATCTTGAGGTGACTTTATAAAATCAGTATTCATCATTTTTATACTTTTCAAATAAGTGTTCCCAATATGTTTAGCTTCTAATAAGTTCTCCATTATGCATATAAATGAAATAGTATCCATTGAAATATAAATACACTTTAAAACTTAGAGTTGTCAAAATCATTATTCAGAGTTAACTCAAATGTTAAACTCTGACCTTCTATAGCATGCACATCTAATTTCCACCAATTCCTGAACACAGATTTTCTGAATATATGAGGGTGCTTCAAAAGTTCTTGGAAAATGGAATTAAAATAGTTTGCTTTGTTGTAAAACATTTTGAAGTCCATATATAATGTTTCATAATATATATTTTCGATGAACTTTTTTGAAGACCCTTCATTTATGTCAGAGACTCTGAAACTGTTCTGCTTTAAACCATTTACAATGTTTATTTTATTTGGCTTTTAATTTTGTAGAAGTCTAATTTCTTGATATTTTTTCGTTTATGAATAATGCCTTTGCTGTCACATCTAAAAACATATTTACCTATTTCAGTGTCACAAAGATTTTCTCCTATTTTTTTCTATAAAGTTCTGTTGCTTTAGTCTTTACATGTAAGTTCATGATTCAGCCTAATGGATTTGACCAATTTTATGTAAAGTATGAAGTATGTCTTTTTATTTATTTTTGACAGGCAGAGTGGACAGTGAGAGAGAGAGACAGAGAGAAAGGTCTTCCTTTGCCGTTGGTTCACCCTCCAATGGCCGCCGCGGCCAGCGCGCTGCGCCCGGCGCACCGTGTTGATCCAAAGACAGGAGCCAGGTGCTTCTCCTGGTCTCCCATGGGGTGCAGGGCCCAAGCACCTGGGCCATCCTCCACTGCACTCCCTGGCCACAGCAGAGAGCTGGCCTGGAAGAGGGGCAACCGGGACAGAATCTTGCGCCCCGACCGGGACTAGAACCCGGTGTGCCAGCGCCGCAAGGCAGAGGATTAGCCTAGTGAGCCACGGCGCCGGCTTGAAGTACGTCTTATGATTATTTTTTTTGCATGTTGATGTCCATTGTTCCAGAAACTGTTTTTTTAAGAAGAAGAAAAAAAAAAAAAAAACAAAGACTGATCTTTCTATATTTAATTGCTTTTACATCTTTGTGAAAACAATTGTTGGGGGGATCTATTTTTAAGCTTTCTATTTTTCTGTTGATCTTTGTGTGCTTCCTTTTGCTAATGCCACACTGTCTTAGTAAATTGAGAAGTAGTGTGAATCCTTCAACATTGTTCTTTTTCAAAATTATTTTGGCTATTCTAGTTCCTTTGACTTTCTAAATAAGTCTTGGAATCATCTTGTTAATACCAGCAAAAACATCTTACCAGTATTTTTATTGAGACTATTTAATTTTACACATCAGTTTGAAGATATTATCACCACAATAATGAATAATTTAATCCATGAAAATTATGCATATGGCTCCATTTATTTAGGTCACTTTGTTTCTTTTTTATTGGTGTTTTTCAGTATGTAGATTAGACACCTATTTTGTTAAATTTATACCTAAATATTTTGGAGGTATTGGAATTATTAATGTTAAGCATTTCTATTTCCAGTTTTTCACTTATAGTATATAGAAATATAAAACATTTTTGTATGTTGACCTTGTGTTTGCTGCCTTACTAAACTCATTAATTTTAAGTACTATTTTTGTATTTTCCTTTATAGGAAATCATGTCATCTGTATATAGAGACAATTACACTTTTCTTAAAATCTGTATTTTTGTTGTTGTTGTCGCCCCATTTCACTGACTAGGACCTCCCATATGACACTGAATTTAACTGATAAGAACAGATACCTTGCCTCATTCTCACTCTTAGGGACAAAAAGCATTCAGTCTTTCACCATTAATTATGATTTGAACTATAGGCTTTTGTACACGTACATAATTTTTATCGGGTTAAGGAATTTCCTTCTTTTTTCTAATTCACTGTTTTATCCCTTATCGTGAATGGGCATTGAATTTTGTCAAATGATTTTTCTTTTTTCCTTTTTTTTTTTTTAAGATTTACTTATTTATTTGAGTGGTAGAGTTATAGTCAGAGAGAGGGAGAGACAGAGAGAAAGATATTCCATCCACTGGTTTACTCTCCAAATGGCTGCAACAGCAGGAGCTGGATGATCAGAAGCCAGGAGGCAGGAGTTTCTTCTGGGTCTTCCACGTGGGTGCAGGGGCCCAAGGACTTGGTCCATCCCACTGCTTTCCCAGGCCATAGCAGAGAGCTGGATCTGTAGAAGAGTAGCTGGGACTTGAATTGGCGCCCATATGGGCTCCCATATGGGATGCCGTGCCACAGCACTGTTCCCCCCCACACACTTTTTTTTTTAATGATTTATTTATTTACTTGAGAGGCAGAGTTACAGAGAGGGGGAGAGAGAGAGAGAGAAAGGTCTTCCATCCGCTGGTTCATTCCCCAAATGGCAACAACAGTAGGAGCTAGGATAATTGGAAGCTAGGAGCAGAGCATGGAGTTTCTTCCGGGTCTCCCACATAGATGCAGGGGCCTAAGCACTTGGGCCATCTTCCACTGTTTTCTCAGGCAGGGAGCTGGATCACAAGTGGAACAGCTAGGAATCCAACCGGCACCCATATGGGAAGCCAGCGCTGTGGTTGGATGCTTAACCTACTGTACCACAGTGCTGGCCCCAGTCAAATGCTTTTTCTATATCTATTAACATATTTTTTTTTCTTTTCATGATTTTTAAAAGTGCTGAACATTTTTAAAAATGGGGCTGGCTTTGTGGTGCAGGGAGGTAAGCTGCCATCTGTAATGCTGGTATCCAATATCATAGTATCAGTTTGAGTCTTGGCTGCTGTGCTTCCAGTCCAGCTCCCGGTTAATGTGCCTGGAAAGGCTGTAGAAGAAGGCGTAAGTGCTTGGGCCTTTGCACCCATGTGGGAGACACGAATTGAACACGGCCTCGGGGCCAGCGCCGTGCCTCACTTGGTTAATCCTCTGCCTGCGGTGCTGGCATCCCATATGGGCGCTGGGTTCTAGTCCCGGTTGCTCCTCTTCCAGTCCAGCTCTCTGCTGTGGTTCGGGAAGGCACTGGACGATGGCCCAAGTACTTGGGCCCTTATATCTGCATGGGAGATCAGGAGGAAGCACCTGGCTCCTGGCTTCAGATCGACGTAGCTCCAGCCATAGTGGCCATTTGCGGGGTGAACCAATGGAAGGAAGACCTTTCTCTCTCTCTCCCTCTCACTGTCTAACTCTATCTGTCAAATAATTAAAAAAAAAAAAATGCCTCTTGGCTTCAGCTTCAATCAGCCCTGGCTGTTGTGGCCATTTGGGTATGGATAGAAGATTAATCATCTCTCTCTCCCCTCCATTATGCCTTTGAAATACATACATGCATAAAATCTAGTTTTGCATTTATGAAATAAGCCAGTTGGTTGTTACATACTATGCCTTTTATATATTGCTGTGTTTGTATATTTATTTTAAAAACAGTAGTTGAAACCAGGAGCCAAGAGCTTCCTCTGGCTTTACCACATTGCATGGGCCCAGCTCCAGCCATAGCAGTCATCTGGGGGAGTGAACCAGTGGACGGAGGACCTTTGTCTCTCCCTCTCTCTACCTGTAACTCTGCCTCTCAAATAAAAAAAAAAAAAAATAAAAAAAAATAAAAAACTTTAAAAAAGTAAAAGAATAGTATTTGAAATAGGTGTTATTATGACTATCTAAATCCTGAAATAGCTTTATTTATTTTTATTTTTTTTATTTATTTTATTTATTTATTTTTTTGACAGGCAGAGTGGACAGTGAGAGAGAGAGACAGAGAGAAAGGTCTTCCTTTGCCGTTGGTTCACCCTCCAATGGCTGCCGCGGCCGGCGCGCTGCGGCCGGCACACCGCGCTGATCCGATGGCAGGAGCCAGGAGCCAGGTGCTTTTCCTGGTCTCCCATGGGGTGCAGGGCCCAAGCACCTGGGCCATCCTCCACTGCACTCCCTGGCCACAGCAGAGGGCTGGCCTGGAAGAGGGGCAACCGGGACAGAATCCGGTGCCCCAACCGGGACTAGAACCCAGTGTGCCGGCGCCGCTAGGCGGAGGATTAGCCTAGTGAGCCGCGGCGCCGGCCCTGAAATAGCTTTAAAAATCATAACCAACTCACTTGTTTACTAATTTTGTCAATAAATACATCACAGCTGCTCTGCATCATTGTTCTAATGCTGGATATTAGAACATTGAACAGTATGTACAGTTGTTGCTGTTCCTAGAATGCTCAGGTGGTAACAGTGTCATGAAGAACAATAAAACTATGTAAGGAAGGGGGAGTCACAAAGTAAGGGACTGAAGCTATGTTAAATATATTAGGGAAGGACTCTGCTGTAAGTGACTTTAGAACAGAGACATGAATGAAGTTAGGGAGCCTGCCATCTTATTTGTGGAAGATTGTTCAAGGCCAAGAGAATAGCAAGTATAGTCACTGAGTCAGGGGACTTGCTTGGAGTGTTTCAAGGAAAACAAACGGGGCGGTATATCTGGAGTGCTGTTATACATGGAAAGAGTTACAGAAGGTGAAATAGTCAGGTATCTGACTTTGTAGGGTATCATAAGACAGCTTTGGATTTTATTCTAAGTATGGTGGCAACCACTTGTTTACTCACCAGATGACTATTTAGCACCTGGTATATGTCAGGTATTCTTTCATTTTAGAGAGTTACAGTAGTAATCTTAAGCCTTCATAGAGCTTAGAAGTGTTAGTGATAAGTGTATTTGTTTAGTGATGGTAGTGGAAGTGGTAGTTTAGAATATTCAGTGAGGAGACAGTTTCTTTTTGCTTTTTTGTTTTTTGTTTTTTTGACAGAGTTAGAGAGAGACAGAGAGAAAGGTCTTTCTTCCGTTGGTTCGCCCCCAAAATGGCTGCTACGGCCAGTGCGCTGCGCTGACCCTAAGCCAGGAGCCAGGTGCTTCTTCCTGGTCTCCCATGCAGCTGCAGGGCCCAAGAACTTGGGCCATCCTCTACCGCCTTCCCGGGCCACAGCAGAGAGCTGGACTGAAAGAGGAGCAACCAGGACTAGAACCTGGAGTCTGGCAGATACAGGGAGATCTTCCATCTGTTTCACTGCCCAAATGTCTGCAACAGCTAGGGAAGGATCAGGCATATGCCAGGAGTCTAAAACTCAATCCAGGTCTCCCAAATAAGTAACAGGAACCCAAGGACTTAAGCTATCATTGCTGTCTCCCAGGGTGCGTCTTAGCAGGAAGGTAGAATTCTAAGTAGAGCCAGAACTCTAACCCAGGCACTTTCATATGGGATATGAGCATTCTAAGCCCTGTCTTATCTACTGTGTCAAATGTTTGTGTCTTTTTTTGGCTTATTTTGAGATATCATATAAAAGTATAAATTTGAAGATTTGCTGGGAGGATTATACAGAAATTGCTACATATTTGAGACATTAAATAATAAAATGTCTGTAAAAAAGACAAACCTATATTTTTACATCTCAGAATTAGCAATAATTAATGTTTGTTCGTTTTTACATTTAGAATTTTTCTCCCAAGTAATAAAATTTGTAGTTCAAATGCAAATCTCTGTAAGTGATCACTCATAGTTGTTTCATGGAATTTGTTTAATAACAAGTCAGTTTACTTATAACAAGTTTGGTGCATGTTCACATTTTACTCTTGTCAACATACACACACACATATATATACACACACACGTAGTTGTATATATAGTATGATTTTGAGTTTGTATTATATTTATATGATACCATACTATATATATTCTGCACTGTTCTTTTTTCCTTTTTACAATATTGTTTTTGGGGTCTCTGTATTAATACTCTAATTTTTTAAAACTGCAGCATAGTATTCTATCATTTTTTTTTTTTTTTTGACAGGCAGAGTGGATAGTGAGAGAGAGAGACAGAGAGAAAGGTCTTCCTTTTTGCCGTTGGTTCACCCTCCAATGGCCGCCACGGCTGGTGCGCTGCGGCCGGCACAACGCACTGATCCGAAGCAAGGAGCCAGGTGCTTCTCCTGGTCTCCCATGGGGTGCAGGGTCCAAGCACTTGGGCCATCCTCCACTGCACTCCCTGGCCACAGCAGAGAGCTGGCCTGGAAAAGAGGCAACCAGGACAGAATCCAGCGCCCTGACCGGGACTAGAACCCGGTGGCCGGCGTCGCTAGGTGGAGGATTAGCCTAGTGAGCCATGGCGCCGGCCTCTATCATGTTTTGTTACCTAGGCTCTTAATATTACATTGTCTTAATATTATAGTACTTGCTCTTATAAACATTGTTCCTTTGTTTATGTCTGTTATGGACAAATTACTGAACCAATTTGAGGTTTCAGTAAATAGAAGAAATTTTGGTTATCTGCCTCCTGATGATAAATGATATTTTCAACGGAAAATGTTTTTGTCAATTTGGTGGTTAGAAAACTGGTCTTTTCCTTTGTTAATTTATATTTCCCTTATTGTGTGATTGAGTATGTGTTTCATGACCATTTGAATTTAATCATCTAGGAAGTACCTGATTGTTCTACTCTTTGCCCATTTGTAGGAGTTCTTTATGTATTCAGGTTGTTGATATATATGTGTTGCAGTTATCTTCTCTTATTACATGCTTTAACCCTGTTCGTCATTTGTGTTATTATAAAGATATGATTGTGCCTTATTTTCCTCCTTGGTCATTCTTGTTAGTGTTTGAAAAAATTTTAGAAATGAAGGAAGCAGCATTACACCTAGCGTTTTAGAACACATTATATGAGTGTGTGGCTATTTAAATGACTATCAACTGTCATGTATGTTGAAACAAATTATGGATCATCTCAATTCTAAGTATTAGATGTCTTTAAAAACTTGTAACTGTCACTATTGTAAAAATTTCTCTACTCAGACTTTAGAATTTTTAATGTTACTGGATTATCTTTTTCTGTTAGTCAGAATATGTGGTTTTACACTTTTTCTTTTGATAAAATACAATGGAATTTGCCTACTTATGGGATTAATTTTTACTGGTCATCTGGTACATTCTCTGTTTTCCAGGCAGAGGTAGCATCTTTTGTAATGAATGACTACTGATGCCTATCCATTTTTGAAAAGTGAAAAAATATTGCAGATACTTTTTCAGGAAGAACTTAAATATATTGAAGATTAGGCAAATTTTCATTGTCACATTCTTAAAAAAAGATTTATTTATTTGAAAGGCAGAGTTACAGAGAAAGACAGAGACAAACAGAAAGAGATCTTCTGTCCTCTGGTTGACTCTGTAAATGGCTGCATTGGCCCAGGCTGTGCCAAACCAATGGCACATCATCTAGATCTCCCATAGAGAGATGTGGGTTCAGGGGCCCAAGTACTTGGGCTATCTTCCACTGCTTTCTGAAACCGTTAGAGGAAGCTGGATCACAGTGGAGCAGCTGGGACATGAAATGGCACCTATATGAGATGCTGGCATTGTAGGAGGCAGGCTAACCTGCTGTGCCACAACATGGACCCCTCATTGTGAAGTTATTTATACGTTTTTGCTTGTAGTTCAGCTCCTTTAAACCTTCTTACACATATACTTAGTATTGTTTTAGTTTTTATTAAGACTCTCCAGATTAAGTTTAGAAATGCTAGTTAAGAGCAATTTATTATATTTTATAGAGATAATAATTATTTTTTAAAAATATTTATTTATTTACTTGAAAGCCAGAGTTACAGAGAAAGAGAGAGAGGCAGACAGAATCTTCCATCTGCTGTTTACTCCCCAAATGGCCACCACGGCCGGAGTTGAGCCAGACAACAGCCAAGAGCCAGGAGCTTCTTGTGGGTCTCCCACGAGGGTGGCAGGGATCTAAGTACTTAGGTAGTCTGCTGCTTTCCCAGGTGCATGATCAAGGAGCTGGATTGGAAGTGGAGCATCCGGGAACTAAACTGGTGCCCATGTGGGATGCCTGCACTGCAGGTAACCCACTATGCCACAGTGCTGGCCCCAATAATTTGTACTTTAGATCAAAAGTATAGATTGATCCTCATTTTTTTTCACAGTGATTACCTTATTCCAGGTTGGAATTTATTTTTTCCTTTTTGCCTTTGTTTAAAAATGACATCCTGAGATGTAATTATGTCCACAAATATTCTCTGGGTACATATGCTGTGCTAAGTAGTATGAAACTTTAGTAAAAATTTTTGGATAGTAGGCCAAGAGTCAGAGTGAAGAATAGCTTAGTAGTTATTGAGATAATATTGGGATTTGGGAGATAAAGGAGGAGTTTGGGTTTACGTGTTTTAATCACAGACATAAAAAATGTTGGCCTTGAGAAAAGTATAATCATAAAACTTCTTTATGGATATCTGATCATTTATTTTTACTTTATTTTAGGTTTCCGGAAATTCTCTGCAGGAATCGCCATGACCCCAGCTTTGAGGGAGGCAACAACAAAGGGAATCTTCTTTTCATCTTTGCCAAGTGCCATGGAGTCTGACAAGATGCTATGCATTGAAAGTCCAAGAACTGTGGATGAAAAGCTAACGCGAGACACTTTCTCTCAGATGCTGGGATTTCCTACTTCTGAATCTACTCTTAATACTAATTTTGTGAATTTAAAACATTTTGGCTCCCCACAGTCTTCAAAACATTATCAGACAGTGATTTTAATGAGTTCTAATTCCGCATTAAATAAATACACTGAGAGTTACAACCAAAAGGCATCAGGGGAGCCCAGTTGCAATAAACTGAAAAGCATATTGTGTAATGGCAAAAACATTCAGTTAAGTAAAATCTGCCATTCTCACTCTGAAGAGTTCATCACAAAAGAACCTCTATCAGATACCACAAGTCAGTGCATGAAAGACATACAAATTATTTTGGATTCAAATATAACCAAAGACACGAATGCAGATAAAGTGCAACTGCAAAACTGTAAATGGTACCAAAAGAAGGCACTTTTGGATAAGCTTAGTGATGCTGAGATTAAAAAGGGTTCATTGAACTGTGCTCAAAAGAAAATTGGACCTGGCCACTCAAATGTTCTTATTAGTTCCACAGCTGCTGAAAAAGAGGAGGAAGTGAATGCTCGGCTACTTCACTGTGTAAGCAAACAGAAAATTTTACTTAGCCAGGCTAGAAGAACTCAGAAACATTTGCAGATGCTCCTGGCAAAGCATGTTGTTAAGCACTATGGTCAGCAAATGAAATTTTCTGTGAAGCATCAGCTCCCCAACATGAAGATCTTTCATGAACCTACCACAATTATGGATAATACTTCAGCTAAATGCACTGAAGTTAAGCCCGAAGTTAATATATTGACTGCAGAGAATAAATTGTGGAATGATACAAAAAATGGCTTTGCACAGTGTACAGCTGCAGAAATCCAAAGATTTGCACTGTCTGCTACAGGGTTGTTGTCTCATGTTGAAGAGGGGCTGGATTCTGATGCTACTGATAGCAGCTCTGATGACGATTTGGATGAATATGCCATTAGAAAAAATGTGGCAGTGTAAGTGCAAAATTATTATTAGACCTTTTTTGTTCTGTATGTGGCAGCAATTGTCTTTTTTTCAAAATATGTTAAAAGGAAGTGGATTTTCTAAAATCTTAATGCTATAATCTTTAAATTATAAAACTGGTAAATGTTTGAAATGTTTTGTTCATTAAACTATTGTGTGTGAATATATACAGTCATCCCCCAGTATCCACTGAGGATTGATTCTAGTCCTGCCCCACCCCCATGGATACCAAAATCCATGGATTCTCACATGCCTTATATGAAATGGCATAGTATTTGCATATAGCCTACCTTATGTTCTGGTATACTTTTTTTTTTTCTGATATACTTTGAATCATCTCTTGATTACTCATAATACCTAATACAATGTAAATGTGTAAATAATTGTTTTATGATATAGGGAATGATGACAGGAAAAAAGTCTGTACATATTCAATATGTGTACAATTTTTAAAAAATATTTTATTAAAATCTTTAAAATTTATTTTTATTTTGTTTAAAAGGCAGAGTTCAGAGATCTTGCATCTGCTGTTTACTCCCCAATTGCCTGAAATAGCCAGGGATGGGCCAAGCTGAAGCCAGGAGCCTAGAACTCTATTTGAGTCTCCCACATTGGTGGTTTGGACCCAAGTACTTCAGCTATCTCTGCCACCTTCTAGGGTATGCACATTAGCAGGAAGCTTAATTGGAAGTGAAGGAGCCAGAACTCAAAACCAGGCATGCCCATAATGGGATGTGGGCATCCTAAGCAACAACTTAACTTCTGAACCAAATAGCCACCCCTTTTAAAAAATATTTTAGATTTTTGGTTCATTGAGTACATGAATATAATCTGTGGATATGGAGAGCTGACTGTACATACTATTTAAAAATGAATTACTCAACTGTTCTACCTAGGAAAACTCAAAAAGGAATAATAAAAACCAAAAAGCTATAAATAACCATTCTTTTCCATTCTTGAATAAAATAAAGGCTTAATTCCTATATAACTGAAAGTAAAATAACTTAAAGTTTGCACATAGGTAATCTTCTTTAGCTTTTGGAGTTTAGCAGTTCAGAATATATGTAAGTTGACCTGCTACTTTTTTTTAAAAAAATACTATTTATTTATGCATTGTATCCACAACTTTAAGATATAGCCTCCACTAACTCAGTATATTTTTGCTGAATTAAGTAAAATAAAATTAAAGTATCTACCATAATATACCCATCAAGTGCTTATGATGTGCTAGACACTAGAGGTTCACTTGTGGATTAAATATTCACAACCTCTGCCCTCTTGGCCATTTACTTGAAAGAAAGGTATCTAGATAGTTTGTAAAAAGTAGAGAAAAGCTAGTGTGTTATCACACTATGGTAACATTCCAAAATAACTGTCCAGTTGATGTTTCTGAGATGATAGAAAAACATCTGTATCTTTGCTGATAGGCATTAGCCTCCAGTAGCCATTGAAATTTATTTGGTAGGGGCTGGCACTGTGGCACAGCAGGTTAAAGCTCCAGCCTGTAGCACTGGCACCCCATATGGGTGCCGGTTCTAGTCCCAGCTGCTACTCTTCCAATCCAGCTCTCTGCTGTGGCCTGGGAAAGCAGTAGAAGATGGCCCAAGTCCTTGGGTCCCTGCACCATGTAGGAGACCTGGAAGAAGCTCCTGGCTCCTGGCTTCGGATCTGCTCAGCTCTGGCCATTGTGGTCATTTGGGGAGTGAACCAACAGAATGGGAGACCTCTCTCTCTCTGCCTCTCCTTCTCTCTCTGTAACTCTGACTTTCAAATAAATAAAATAGCTCTTTAAAAAAATTATTTGGATGTGGGAGTTAAAATAGTTAAAGTTTATTTTTCTGGCTGGCATTGTTTTAATTAGTTACATATAATATCTCATTTAATTATTTCAACAACTTTTGGGAAGTAATTGTTTTTATCTTTGTTTCATTTAAGAAGAAACAAACTCAGCATGGTTAAGCAGCTTGCCCCTAGTCAAAGCCAAATAAATGGTACAACCAGACTTTGCTATGTATGTATAAGTCTAAACCCATGCTTATTCTCTTGTACCTTGTTGCTTTCTCAATATTATATTCAATTTATACTATGGCTACAAAACTTACTAGGCCAGGGCCAGCGCTGACGTAGTGGGTAAGACAGCTGCCTGCAGTGCTGGCATCCCATATGGGTGCTGGTTCGAGCCTGGGTTATAGGAACCCATTTACTTGAAACATTATTGCTGCCTTTCAGGCTTGGCATTAGCAGAAATGCTGTAGTCAGAAGGTGGACATTAAACCCACTTTCATATGGGATGTAGAAATCTTTTTTTTTTTTAAGAGTTATTTTATTTATTTGAAAGAGTTACAGAGAGAGGTAGAGACAGAGAGAGAGGTCTTTCATCTGCTGGTTCATTCCCCAGATGGCCACAACAGCCAGAGCTGCGCCGATCTGAAGCCAGGAGCTAGAAGCTTCTTCCTGGTCTCCCACGTGGGTGCAGGGGCCCAAGAACTTAGGCCATCTTCTACTGCTTTCCCAAGCCACAGCAGAGAGCAGGATCGGAAGAGGAGCAGCCGGGACTAGAACCGGCGCCCATATGGGATGCCAGCACTTCAGGCCAGGGCGTTAACCCGCTGCGCCACAGTGCTGGCCCTGGGATGTAGGAATCTCAACCAGAGTCCTAATAGCTCAGCCAGATGCCCACCTCTGAATCTTAATGTTAATTAGATTTTTTTTTTTTTTTGACAGGAGAGTGGACAGTGAGAGAGAGAGACAGAAAGGTCTTCCTTTTGCCATTGGTTTCACCCTCCAATGGCCGCCGCGGCCGGCGCGCTGTGGCCAGCGCACCGCGCTGATCCGAAGCAAGGAGCCAGGTGCTTCTCCTGGTCTCCCATGCAGGTGCAGGGCCCAAGGACTTGGGCCATCCTCCACTGCACTCCCTGGCCACAGCAGAGAGCTGGCCTGGAAGAGGGGCAACCGGGACAGAATCCAGTGCCCCGACCGGGACTAGAACCTGGTGTGCCAGCGCTGCAAGGCGGAGGATTAGCCTAGTGAGCCATGGCGCCGGCTTAATTAGATTTTTATTACCTCTACTGAATATAAGAACTCCTCAAATTAAGTAACAACTTCAGAGTTACTAAAGTTTACTTCAACTTGATTTTAAGCAATTTGAGGGAAAATATTACTCTTACTACTTTTGTATACCTATTACATGGCATTGTCTTCGGTTTAGTGGTTGTGGATATTTGTTGAGTAAATGAATATTTCTGTATATGTATGTGTAGTTATATAGATATAAAATTGTAGATGACAATATGTAAAATTTCTGTATATATACAGTTGAATCTCTGGACCTGTAGATTCCACATCTGTGGATTCAACCAACCATGGGTCAAAATATTAGAAAAAAATTGCATCTTTTGTAAACATGTACAGACTTCCTTGTCATTATTCCCGCAGTAATACGGTATTACAGCTATTTATATAACATTTGCATTGTATTAAGTATTATAAGTAATATAGAGATGATTTAAATTATATAGGAGGATGTGTGTCTGTATATTTAAATAGTACAACATTTTATATAGAAACTTGAACATCCATAGATTTTTGTTGTCTTCCAGAGTACTGGAACAAATCCACATGGACAAAGAGGGACAACAGGATATGATGTTTTTCTTCATTCATTCTGGAGTTGCATTAACTTTACCTGCTGTTTTTTTCTTCTCTTTCTTTTGTTTCTAATTCCATACTAGCCACAAGGTGTATTTTGTACATTTTAGATCATACATGAATGTGTGTTCCTGGAATGAATGAGTGAACTATTCCAAAATATGGACACTTAAAGTACTGGTTTTATTATAACATCTAACATTTGTAATTTTTAAAAACTGATGAGTAAAATATAATTACCTTAAAACCTTAGATTATATTATCATTATATGCCTTCTATTTTTGTTTCAGTTTACAGCCCTGATAGGAAAATAAATTTATTCACTTTGATCAGGAAATTTTCTGTGAAGGAATATAATTGTTTTAGGAAATTGGAAAGAATGCATATTAGTCATTATCATTACCATTGTTGGTTTAAGTAAATATTTGATTTACCTCTTTTACTTTCCCTCTAAAAATGTAGGCAGTAGGTTAATTCATAATGACAGTATTGATAGGCTAAAAATAGTTATTGATTGAGAAGCTAGTATTTGTTAGAAGGAAAAAAGTCAGTTTTCTTCAGAAAGGATAATAGGAGCATTTTTTTTGTCGGTTTGAACTATAGTATGTAAAGAATATCTCCTTTCCCCCACTTACATTTTACATTTTTCTTTTCCTTTGCTGAAGGAGCTGAAGTTCTGGACATCATTTAGATAGATGACTTGCTATATGATCCTAAGCAAGGTTAATCTTAACATTTCTGAATCAGATTCCTCCTGTCTTATCTACCTAAAGAACTCTGGAAATGATTAGAGGAAATATAAATTATAAAGTGCCAATATATAATAAGGCATTGAAAAGGATGCCACTAAAAGTTGCTTTATCAAGCAATTTATTTGAGCTTATATTGCTGAGGAAAATTTGAGGAGCAGTGTAAATAGACATGCCTTAGAGTTAACTACACTTTGAGAAGTCAGGAGCATGATTATTTGTTTACCAGTCTCGTCAGTTATTGGTTGAAGGTTGTTGTGGTAGCATTAATTCCCTGACTTCATTCTAACACTTGAGTGGCAAAGCAAGCTCTAGCAAGAATAAAAAAGAAGCCCTTAGTTAATGAACTGTAGGTGCTGGTAGTTTTAACAGTCAGCCCTCTGTGTATTGAACTAGTGAAATATGAGGGCATGTGGGTGGGTCACTGATAAGAATCTGCTATCATTATCTTATTTCTCTTCTGATAGTAGAGCCTGCAGATTCTAGCATTTCTTCTCTTTTCTCCTAGGGAATGATGATCAGTTATTTTCTTCCAGAATGAATGTTGGAGAAACTCACAGATTTTTGACACAAGCCTATTTTGATCCTCTGA